CCAACCCTTTGTTTGATGATCTTTATATTGACACATTCAACATTGGTTTTGTCTGCGAGTTACAATATCGATCTATATATGCTGATTGGAGCGAAGAAGCATATTAAAAAATAAATGTTAGTTCATTTTCCAACAAGTTAAATCAAACATAAACATCCAATATCTTCAATTACTAAGTCATTCATGTTGTTTAAATTTAATTCCTAAAGATACAAATCATCTTGTGTATTATAGATCAACTCTACATGAAGTGTTTGAGTAGGAAGAGTTTCTTTATTTTTTTCTTTTTTTCTTGTCTTAACTTTTACTATTGTGACCACCCTATTTACATTTAGTGCAATGGAGGGCTATAGTTGAGTTGAGCTTTTTCTTTGTGAGTAATCTACTTGCTCATTTGCACCTCTTCTTCTCATCTTTGGTGGGTGGCCCCTCTTAGTTTTATTGTATCTTGGCGGCAATTGAGATGCTCTTTTATTTCTTGGCCACTCAACAGAACCATTTATAGGAATAATGTTGAACTTATAAGTTCTCCTATAATTGTCCACGGTATCTTAGTTGTGCACAAAATCTTTATGAAGAAGTTTCCCTATATTGATTGTTCTCCTATAATTGTCCATAATATAGTAGTTGTGCACAACATCCTTATGAAGAAGTTCCTTTATATTGATTGCAGCACATGCATGAAGATAGGGCAAGCCATTTAATTCCCATATTTTAGAACTACATAATATGGAATCCAAGTTAACAATATACTGTTCCCATTACATTGTAATAATTTGGTAATTGTCATTAGCTTTCACTCCAATGTAGCCCCTAGCATCATAAACATTCTTTGCAAGTGCTTCACAAATCCTTGGGCAGAACTTCTCATAACACCTCAATGATGTCTCCTTCTTTTGCATCCGACTCATTACCAAACTTCTGATGCTCTCAAACTTGGAGATGATGGATTCCTCTCTTGCTTCAAGAATAATGACATTAAAAAATTTTCACATATTATTAAGTAACATTTCACACTTTGAGATGCATGAAAAATGTGATCATGACCATTCTCTTGGGTGCTTGTCAACCAACTCCATATTATATGTAAATTGATTAACTGTAGTACTTCTAGCAGTTGCCTATAAAGTATTTTTTAGTGCAATATCATTGAATCCTGCAAATTTAAAATTTTGGTGTAGATGATGAGCACATAACATATTTGTAACATTTGGCAATATATTTTCAAATGCAGGAACGAAACCTTTTTGTTTATCTAATGTGAATGTGAACTTCGTTTGATTTTTGACAATATGTAAATCTCTTGCCAACAATTCCAAGTACCATTCCAAACTAATTTTTGATTCATTTTCTACAACTGCCCATATTATGGGGAAAATGTTATTGTTCCCATCCAAACTAACAACTGTTAGTAGCTGACCACCATGTGGGCTCTTTAAGAAGCATCCATCAACTCCAATAATTAGTCTGCAACCTCTGAGGAAACCCCTTTTACAAGCGTCAAAACAAACATACATTCTCATAAAAATTTTTTGACCTTGTAAATCGGCATTTCTTGTGGTTAACACATATATTGTTGTTCTTGAATTTGTTCTTAGGATTTCCAAATACTAATTCCAAATCGTTAAAACTCTTTTATCGTTTATCGTTCTTCAATATTCATTTAAAACTTACTTTCTCATCAACCAAAAAAAAATCCTGATGCTTAATTATTGCAACAAATTTTAAGAAGAAAAACTAACAAAAGTTAATAAAATTTCCAAACTCATTCAAATAGCCAAAACAAATAAATACATGCATCACAAATAATACAACTGCGAATGAATAATTCCTAACATTAATCATATGGACGGAGGATATTATGAAGATAAGAAAACCTAGCATTAACTATGTCATTGTCTCCTTGTGGATGTTGCAAATTGCTCGTTGTCTCTGTCTTTGGGTGTCAAAGCGCATCGTGATCACTCACGGTAGCTCGCACCAGGCTCTGTCTCCATTTCTGGCTATTGTGAGATGCAATTTGCTTGTCGCCTCCTTTTCTGGCTATTGCTTGTGATTGCTCGCCATCTCGCTCGCACCGCGTTGCTTGCGGCCTTTTGTGTCTCGCACGCAGTGCGTGCGTCATATCGAAGTGCAATGTCTTGCTCGCAACAGCTGATCGTCACGCTCGCGATCCTTATTTGTCACAAAACATCTCCTTACTCGCAGTTGTAGGTCTTCTCCCTCACACCATTTGATCTTCAGTTCCATCTCCAGGAAATTATAGCGTGAAGGTGAGGGATTAGGTAAAGAAGTATTTCTTAAAATACCCCAAAGAACCGAACGCTTGCGGGCTTCTTCTATTAATTTGAACGGAAAATTTAACAGAGGGGATCAAATTGGACAATTTCTAATAGTTGAGGGCCTGAAATGGGACAATGCAAAACTTGGGGCTAAATTGAGAATTTGTTATAGTCAGGGGACTATTTTGAATTTTTACACATTTAATATTTTGTGGACCTTTTTGGCTGGAAGATTTCATTTGATCATTCTTAAGTAATTGTGATTGCTTGATAAGTTGAGTTAGATTAGTTTTCCCTTGGTTGTTGCTTCTTGATTGGCGAATTATATGCCCAACTTGGTTTAGCCTGGGAGCTAAAATAGGGCATGGATTTGGTCTAATATTGCTTCCCCTAGTCTGGTGATAGTTGTTAGAGAATTTTAGTCTGGCGACGAAGGTCGGAGGACTGTAATAGTCGAATGATGGTGGTTCAAGAACTGTAGTTGACGGGCAACGGTGGTCCGCAGACCATAGTTAGATGACGGTGGTTCAAGGATTGTAGTGGGCGGGCGATGGTGATCAATGACAACAATGGGACGGTGGCCCTATGGTGATGCATGGTTGGTGCTCCGAGATATTTAGAGTCTTAGAGCTCTTTTGAATCTCAAGCCAAAGTTTATGCTCCACCTCTAAGTTCTCTCTTTCCTCATGTAGAGAGTGAGGGTTTATTTATAGATTTTTTAGAGTGGCATGCTTGTAAATATGAAGAAAATCTATAATACTCAATCGGATGACCCATATTGACTCCTTTGATTATAAATCAGTCGTTCAGTGTGTAAGTGCATTAATGCTATCGGAATTAAGTTATCATATGTTCGTTAGATTCAGCTCTTCAAGCTGCTCAATTCAACTATTAGCATGCATATAAAATTTAGAGATAGTTTGATAATCCAATTAATATCTTAAAGTTTTTAACAATACTATTTGGCCTTTGATTTGGGCTCATTTAGGCTCAGTTTCGACCATTTTTTGATGTTGTTGGCTTCATCTTGTCAAGATGCTCAATTCGACTATAAGTTTGTTGAAATAGGAGTTTGAATGGTCTTGAATTTAATTTTGAAAGTTTGCTATTCAAATATGCCTTGAGATTCATTCCTGATTGAGACAATTTTCGATGGAGTATAAATTTTAGTATTCATATTGTGATTCCCTTTTTGGGCTACTCTTACAAGCCTGCTGTTCCATAAGCATCTTATGAAATATTTTTGGAGTTTTGGCAAGCTTAATGTTATTATAAATGTGCCAATCTATAATTAGAGCTTATGCATTGTTATTAGATATTAATAAGGTTACTTAAAGTTGACCACAGGTCTCTGCTGGATCTATGAAATTCAAATGTTTTAAAAATCATGGTGGATTTTTCAATAAAGATTTCATAATTTATTTATATTTTAAATTTCTTGTTCCTTTTTTTTAACCTCCAATATAAGTCATGGGCGGCAGCTGCATATTGACATGCTTCCCTTGTCGGTGGAAAGTTCAACTATGATGACAACCTTCTCTAACCTTTGTTTAGATAAATCTTGGGCATCTTAACAACACTGAAGTAGTGTGACGGTCATACTAATGCTAGGTTTTGACTAACCATGGTTGTTGATGGCAAGTGTTCATCTCCGTGAACATGAATTGAAGATAATGGAAGGAGGTATGAAACGGGTTAGATTGAAAATCAAGATACAAAGGTCTTCAAGTTGTGGTCCGTTTGAAGATCAACAATGCATAGATCTTCAAACTTTAACAGATTGAAGTCAATGATGTAGAGATCGTCAAACTTTGGCAGAGCTTAAGATTCACAACATAGAGGTCTTCAAGCTCATTCAGATCGAATATTGATGATGAGTTTTCATATGATGCTGATAGAAGACCAACAGTTCTTCAACGTTTATCCAAACATTTCTGCGTGAGGGAATTTCATAACATGAGGTTGAATGAAGAGGCCAAGCATCATGAGCTCGTTAGTTGATGTAGTTGAGCGTGAGGTTAAGCAACAAGGGTTGCCAGATGTGATCGAGGGAGAGTTTAGAAGACGTGAGTTTAAGTTGAGATCAACAAGTATAGGAAACTTTTGAAATTGTTGTCGGTAAAGGTGTAAACATAGTAGCAGGTCCGACGTGTGGATTTAGAATAAGAAAACGCATGGGCTGAGACGTTTTGTAATAGAATGGTTGAAATTTTGGGCGCTAAAGCATGAGCTGAACTTTGGGCTGAGAGAGAGAGAGAGAGAGTAGGCTTCAGAGTGGGCTATGAAATAGGGCATTGTGGTTTGATGAGTGTGGCAGGCTAGAACAACAGAACTGGTATGGTTTTAGCACATTTGGAGAATGCTTTTTTGGTATTTCGTTACTTTTGTACGTTTCAAATTCTCTGCTGTTGTTAATTTCTCCTTGATGTAGGATATTCATGTGTGCCTGTTCCTGCATATGTTTAATAGCTCAATTCTGGACTTAATCTCACATCCAATAACGCCCTTTGTGGCTATGGTTTTATTTTTTATTTTTCTATGTCTAGCCATAGCTGTAGCACCCTTTATGCCGATGTGTCACTCTTGGACTAGATACCAATGGTCGGGGGACTGTTTTGGGATTAAGATACATAGATTATTTGCATGGATAACTAGACGGAGCCAAATATACATTGATTATGTACAATGTATATGATTGGCTGACCTATCACTCATATTTTCATTTGTTTCTTTTGTACAGACACAAGCCATGAGGCCTGGAGTGGTGCCTTATCGAGGGATATTTTCTGCTTTGACTAGGATTTCATGTGAAGAGGGAATCAGGGGGCTCTATAGGCGAGTTTTATTACTTGTTATTCCTTGAATTTTGTTTTCTACCTCTGCCTATATGCACTGTAATGAAGTATCGTCAGCAGCATTCAGTGTTTGAAATGACATTCCATCTGTACATCGTAAACAGTGGCCTTCTTCCTGCTTTAGCTGGGGTTAGCCATGTTGCCATCCAATTTCCAACATATGAGAAAATCAAGGCTTATTTAGCCGAAAAAGGTAATCACTTTATGTTTCAACACTCTTCTTTTCTGTTGAATTTCTATTTCGTTCGGTAAATTCATTGTTTCTGTTCAGATAACACAACTATTGATAAACTCAGCGCTGGAAATTTAGCCATTGCATCTTCGATTTCCAAAGTTGTTGCATCCACACTAACCTATCCTCACGAGGTATATTGTTCCCTTCCTTTAGTTGCATAGAGAGGAAGCATTTCATATAGTAATAGCTCGAATTATGGATGAAGCTAATTTTTTAAGCCTATTTAGGGGCCAGAAGTCTTTATGTTCGAGACATTCCTATCTACCTTGTCACAAAAATACCTAGTCCTGTCAGGATTGTGGCTAGGGTTACATAGTGGCAGGGCAGTGGGTTTTAGGAGAGAACCGTCACTGCTCCAAACCAAGACATGTGTCACCTTCGGCCCAACACCATGTGAAGGACAATTGGATGTGCATGTGATTTTGTATGTGTGGGTAGGTGTTAATATTTCGCTGTCGTAAGGAAACTTTGTTGCTTCTAGGCGTTTGAATTGAATGTCTGTTCTTTAAGGCTCTTGTGCAATAGCTTATTATAGATAAATATCTACTCAAATGCGTGGAGTGACAAGTAGAAAGTCCTTCCAACATGCTATTGAAACTTGAAATTTGGCTTTTGTAAAGCTAAGGCTTTTTTGGAGCAGTTTTTCACGGTTCTGTTTTTCAAATAGCTGGCTACAAATCCATTTGGGGCACTGCAGCTGCCACTGAAAGAAGCTGTAGGACTGGTGTAGAAGCAACAAGTTTCTTGCAAACCATCATGGGCATGATAAAATTTTCTGTTTAAAAAAGTTAGATAATGATTTTTTGTCATCTCTTATATTCTAGTGGATTTGATTGTAAAATGTTACTTACCATTATCAAAATATCTGAAAAGCAGCAGCAAAGTTGTAGCCAATAATACGTTAATGGCAATTTTCTTTGAAAACAAAGCTATGAAAAGCTTCCCCAATTGGACCATGCAATTTTCTTGCTATTTTTAGAAATTTCTATGATGAAAAATGAATTTTATGATCATATCTTTTGGAGTTTGGTAGATCTAAAGAAGCTATTATCTAACTTTTTTGAAAGGAAAATAGTATATACTATCCAAAATATTTTTCTCTCATTAAATCTACAGCACCTTTACAAATAGTTGCAACCACTATAAACGTACCGGCTTCATCTTGTTGTAATGATGCAGCTTGCAGTTCCATATAAGGAGACATTTTATAGGTTTTTAAATTTTTTTTTGAAGATTAGAACTGCACTAAATTGAAAATTCATTCACCTTCTATCACTACTCACCACAGGTCGTCCGATCTAGACTTCAAGAACAGGGCCAGGTTAGGCTCACTCCAAGGTCATACGAGGGTGTAATAGACTGCACGAGGAAAGTCTTCCATAAAGAAGGCCTTGCTGGCTTCTACCGTGGTTGTGCTACCAATCTGTTAAGGACCACCCCTGCTGCTGCTATAACCTTCACCAGCTATGAAATGATCCATAGATTTCTAAATCAGGTTTTTCCACCAGAGCTGAACAGCCATGATCAGAACCTCAACACAAAATCAAATAATGGGGACTGAAACATGTGGACGTATTACAGTTGACCTATTTTATTCAGAGATGACTCCAAGAGGTAACTAACCAGTCGATCTTTCCTAGTTGTTTGTGTTACTTGGTTGACCGCAAGGGTTTCCACAAAATATTTACTGATGATTTTGAAAAAGATATATTGTAACATTCTTTTTATGTTTATCAATAAAAAAAAAGATGTTGTATTAATGATTTTGTACTCAATTGGTTTAATGCATAGTTAGGCTTCAGATAAATTATGTTCTAACTGAAGAGTTTTGGGTTGATTGATATTCATGATTTGATTGGATAATTCTTGGGACAAAAATGTTGGAAAAATGATTTGTAATTTATGGCTGAATGAAAAATTGATGCTTTAAAAATTGTAAACTATGAATTTGTTCTTATGAGATTATTTAGAATTGTAATGTATGAGATTAAATCCTCTATTATTTGATGTTGTGTTCAACGTTTCTAAGCACAGAAAATTAGAAGCTTCTTTCTTATTTCTTCATTAGACTCGAGCTTTTTCTAGATGTTTAGGATTTTAGATGGTACAGTGAAGACATATTCAAGTTTATTAGATTAGTCCCTGTGGTGTCAGGTGTGTATTTTTGTACTCAATCCTCATAGTATAATATAGGACAAATCCTTATGATATCCTCAAATACAAATTGAGTAAGCATATTTATGTTAAAATTGCATGAAAATAGAAGCCTTAATTTTATTTTAGTTCTCATTTTTTAGATTTCTGCTTAATGTTGATTTTTTTTTTTTTTGTACTTATACATTGTTATTATATTAGTTGTTCTTATCTGTTCTTTTCTTTATTTACATGTAATACTTCTTACAAATTATTTTTCCATGATCGTACATTTATTCTTTTCAGTGTACATGAGATGCTTACTGTACTGGCTGCTTTATGCAGATGCGAATCTAATTAACTCAAGTAAACCTGAACGAATAAGTTAATTGGACTGTTTGATGCTCTCATAAAAAAACTGTAGTTCTCCACTGGCCATCATATGCATGAAAATGACAGTTCTTCACGTGAGGTATCGTGAAAAGTGTCAACAGCAAGATTAATTGTTTATTTGGTTCATCTAATTGGATAAAAACTTGTCTTGTTACGACTTGAGGCAAAAAAGTCCCCAACGGTCCCCAGTTGCAGGAAAGGGCGTAAAATATTAATAATGATAATAATTAAAATGGTAAGAATTCTTAAGAAACTGATAGTGCTTATAATAGATTATGTTTGAACTTGTTGGTTGGTTGTGAAGTGTTGGAATTCGTAGAACTTATCAAATGAAGTACGAATTTTAACTCTGAAGCAGAGTTAAGCAACGTCAATGAATCAAATTGATGTTCAGATTTTCCTACAAGGATGATAATAGATGTGCTTTAATACAGTAACATATTGCTTGAAAATAAATTAGAGAATATTAGAGGGCTGAATTTGAGCATTCATTCCACCCAAATAATACTAAATCAAAGAAGCTCACATTGATGCGATTAATTATTCTCTACAGACGCCGAACGCCGTCTAGAGATCAATCATAATGTGCCACGTCACCTTTTGCTCAGTATCACGGCTCGGTATTGTTGACGTGACATATTCTGGTTGGTCTCTGGACAGCGTTTTGCGCCCGGTCTTCACAGAATAATTTCCTGATTGATGCAACTCTTATACATATTTATATCATCATAATGAGTGAAAATATCAAAATTGTAAGCTCCATAGCCTAGATTGTAGCAAGACAGAGTTGAGTCGTCCCTAATTAGACTTGCTGATCTCGACCACTTTGAACTTATCGTATGTGATCTTTTTGATGATGGTGCTCGTTATGTTGTTGATGCAACTAACGACCACATGAAATGATGCAACATACCAGGTGCTGGATCTCGGCATTTTAAGATTTTAGTTTAGCCCAGACCAAATTTGATGCTCTCTCCTCTGAAGCAAATTTGCTAGACATCCCTATTAATATTTTGGATTTGAACGCAACCTGTGAATCCCATCAGAAAAAAGCCTGAATCTGAGCAATGCAAAGCACCACCTGGTTCGAGTAAGCCAAAAGCACAGTCCATGGCAAAGAATGTGGCCTCCACTTCCTCCAAATGTTAATGTCCAGCCCAGTTTATACCTTTTGGAATGTGGGGGACTTTAACGGTATGGACCTTATTCTTTGCTGCAAAAATATTATTCAGACCAACTGTGATGCCCCAGATATCAATAGTGAAAGGATTCGTCTGACATTAGTTGTAGGCTTTGGTGACCTGCTGGGCTTTATAAGCTCATTATATGTGGTTTAAATTTTCAGGTCCGAGCAAGGCAACTGGAATGGAGTTCGATCAGAATGTCAGACGAATCCTTTCACTATTTAATTCTGGGGCATCACATCAATTAAATCAAGTCAATCAATGGTCAATGAGTCTATGCAATACGGAAATCCATAGTCAATGAAATCAAGTCTGTACAGCGGAAGTCAAATCAGTAGTCAATGCAGTACGGAAATCAATAATCAATAATCAATACAGCGGTAAAAATATCGATAAATCAATACGCCTCAGCAATTAAATCGATAAGTGACTGGAAGCCAATATCTAACCATCGTAGCAGTGTCTATCCATCAATACTATCAGTTCAATCAATCGTGTCGTCTAATCAATTCGTTGTATCTATATCATCTATCAAATCAATAGGATGTCTGTGTCAATTAATAGCAATCAATAGCATCAAGTAATTCAATAAGGGACTCGTGTCAGAACGTACTCTTGCAAATCAGTCAATCCAATTATTCAATATGATTTACTCGATATCAATATACAATATTCAATGACACTACGACAGATTCAATAATGATGACGCACGATGCTACAATAGGGAAATCACAATCAATAGAGCACTTTCCAGTCAATTACATCTATCAATAGGGAAATCCATCGAACAATCGAATCAACTCAATAAATCAACCTAGCAATTGAAAACAAATATATACAATGAAATCATCAGGTCAATTGAAATCAATACAATCAGCTCCAAAAAGAAATCTATTCTACGATAAATCAAATCCATACGGCAACAATCCATTCAATCAATCAATCGATAATCGGTACGATGAATCAATGTATCAGTGTATCAATAGCATGTCAGGATCTGTCGTATCAATAGTATCCATATGTCAATATCATATCCATATCAATATCGATGTCGGTATCTATCAATTGGTACAATCTATATCAATATCAGTGTCAATATCTATGAATCAATACGCAGAATCCATATCAATATCGATGCCGGTATCTATGAATCAATAACATACAATCCAAATGATAAATCCGTAAATCCATAAATCCATCATTAAATCCGTTCAATAATAAATCCATTCAAAACAATAAATCCGTCAAATTAATCAATCAATCAAATCCAGGCTATACTATCAAGTCGATAAAATCAATCGGAAAAGCAATACGATAAATCTCAATCTATCATATCAATAAATCAATTGTAGCAAGTCAAATCAATGCAAAATCAATAGTATCAATGAGTCTATACAATATCAATAAATCTATGCTGTCCATGTCCATATCGATGTCAATAATCAATAATCAATAGTATCAATGCTCAATGATCAATCAATGAAATCAATAAAATTGTACGATACAGTAAATCCATAAATCCATCAAT